GAGCAAATAATCCAAGAAGCTGGATTATATGAAGAAGCATGTGACATCAGAATTGGAGGGCCCTCATCAGTAACCTGTGATATGCAGATGACACAACAAACTCTTTATAGGCAGTTACTATGAGGTGATAGCAGGTTTTGTGATCATCGGTTGTTCTTCCACCATGGTGACAAAATTTGTTTCATGTGGCAAGAGTCATGACCTAATTAATTAATCCAAAACCCCAAGGACCGTCTAGACTACATCCTCTACTGTCCAGGGACCAGAACAACTAGATGGTGCACAACCATCACTACCAGTTGGTCTGATCAGGACTGAAGGAGGTACTGGACAGAAAAGGAAGAAGTAGAATTAAAAATGTGTAAGAGATACAGACAGACAGAGACCAAGAGTCTGTATGTCTGTGCCAAGGCCAGACATTCCACTGCCAGTGCTGTCTCAGACTTGGGGGCTCAGCACCCCAACTGAGAGTTAGACTTAAGTTTAGTGTTTGGACTTAAACTTACTTTGATGTCCACTGCCAGGTCTCTGCCTCATATTCTCCATATAAAGGAGGTAAAAGTAGGGTTGCTAAATAAAATGTCAGTGGTTTAAACCCACCAATTGCTGTGCAGGTGAAAGACGTGTCGTTCTGCTCCTGGCCACATGTGCAGCCTCTGAATCCCTGGGAGGCAGCTCTGCTCTGTCCGACAGGATCTCAGTTCATAGGAACTGACTCAACAGCTGTGGGTGGGTCCCACAAGAGTTAAGAGCTTGGTTTGGAATGAAAAAGTTGGTGGATCTAAGTTACATCAGGACTCATCAGAAGAGGGCTGGCGAGTTGGCCCCATAAAGACAACAGAAGAAAAGCCATGGGACACTTCTGCTCTGTTATACGCAGTCACCACAAGATGAAGTCAACTCAGTGGCACTGGACAATGACAGCCATCCCTGTGTATCCCACGTTCTCATGCCGTGCCTCCCATTAATAACAGTTTTTCCTTTTGACCTTTATGACTGAAGGAGCTTTGGTGGCAGAGTCCATAGGGAGCTGCACCTCTCTGTTCATTTCTCCACGGGAGAAAGATGGACAAGGGAGAAAGTTTCCTCCCATGTGATTTACGACCTCAGAAGACCTCCTGGAGGGTCAGCCAGGAGTCTTTTCTGACTTAACAGCACTGAGTTGAGCAACCTGTATGACTAAATCTCAAGTATTCAGTTCAATGAGTTTTCACATCCGTGGAGATATGTAGCCATCACCCCAATCTGTAATGGAAATGGTCCCTGATCCCTACTCTCCTGTCCACGGTCACTAGTCCCAGTAGTCACCACTGTTCTCACCTTCCTCTCCACAGACTGGCTTGGCTGCTCTTGAACTTTGTAGAGCGTAGCCCTCTTTTGTGTTTGATTTCACCTACTCGGTGTCAAACTGTACTCTTTCCTCGCTATTGTTGAGTGTAAAATTCTCCAATATAATCTATTCACTGTTATCCTGACTGTGGAAGTTCAGGTGGCTTCCAGTTTAGGGCACTGGGAATAATGTTACAAAGATGTCCCTGTCTATGCTTCTTGGTCATCGTGAGCGCTTATGTTGGGAATATATCAAGAGTAGAACTGCTTAGCCATAGGGCACATATATTGTCTTTTTGTTGGTCCTGCCAAACATTTTCCCAAAGCAGTTGTATCAAGTAACACTCCTTTTGTCCTTATGCTTCCAACGTGCAGTTCTCCTCTGTAATATTTTATTCCAGGTTGTTTGTTGAGCTAGCCGTCAGTCCACCTCAGGTTACACACAGACATGCATGTACTTTCATATTTCACGTTTATTCAGTCTGTAACCATAAGTATGCGTGTGCGTGGTCTTGAGCTTGGAGAGCACTGAATAAACCAGAGAATTCCAGAAGAACAAATAAGCCTGTCTGGGAAGAAGGTCAGCCAGAATGCTCCTTAGAGAAGATGGGAAGGCTTTGTCTGAGGAAGGACCAGTTTCTGGAGAAAGACACCAAGCTTGGGAAAGTAGAGGGTCAAAGAAAGAGAGAAAGACTCTCAGCGAGCTCTCTTGGACCTGGCTACGACCTGGCTCCGCGTGAGGATGACACAGGACCAGCAGGCCCTTCTGTTCTCGAGAGTCACCGTGAGCCAGAGAGGACGTGAAGGTGCCCAGCAATGACAGCTGCATTTCGGGAGTTTCATAATCATAAGTGCCCTGAAAAACTAAAAGGAAATGTCACTTTAAAAAAAAATAAGTGCCCATCTGAATAAAATTCCCCTTTTGAGTGGACATCTGGCTTTCTGGCTCCGGAGTGGGTGTATATCTCTGCTGTCTAAATGTGATAGTTCGTTCAGACTCTGGCAGAGACCGAGGCTCATTTGACTTCAGGCATCACTCATCTGCAGCGTGATTGAACTGCACGTCAGAGCTACCTGTTTCTTTTTCTTTTCTTTGAGAGGAAGCAGACTCCATGTATTAACACTACTTAGCACCCTCAGTATAAAGCACTTTAATTCCATCAAATGCTTCTTGGCATATGGCTGAAGACAGGAAAGCCAGTCCTCAATTTCTTAGTTCATGGAACAGGAGTCATTTACCCACATGGGCCAGGGAGCAGTGTAATTAAGGATAATCATCTCAGTGTAAGAAAGAATCATCTGAGTGAGAACTACATTCTGGGGAAGCTTGCACAGCCAGGATTTTCAAGTAAGAGCGTTCTTCTCTCCCCCCTTGTTTAAAATGCATCCATTCATGCACACATGACTCTCAGCAGACTGACAGAGGACTACAGGTCAGAATGTCCATTTGTGTTTTATTGACGATGTAAAGGCATTGCTCTGTGTGGATCTTTACAAATTATGGCTAACATTGAGAAGAATGGAAATTCCAGGAGACACTTGATTATGCTTATACAGAACATATACCTGGACAAGGAGGCTGTTGTCCGAGCAGAGCAAGGAAGCACTGCATGGCTTAAAACTGGGAAGGGGTATGCATCAGGCTGCTTCCTTTGTCTATTCAATCTGTATGCTGAGCAAATCATTAGAGAAGCTGGACTTTATGAAGAAGAGTGTGGTGTCAGGATTGGAGGAAGACTGAACGATCTGCGTTATGCAGATTAACAGCCTTGCTTGCTGAAAGTGAAGAGGACTTGGGGCTTGCTGTAGAGGATCAAGGACAACCGCCTTCACTATGAATTATGTCCCAACAGCAAAAAAACCCAAAAATCTCCACCACTGGCACAACAGGCAACACAGATGAAGATTGGAATTGTGAGCAACTTCATCTTTCTCGGATTTACGATCAACACCCGTGGTAGCAACAGTTAAGAAAGAAAAGATGTGTTGTGATGGGTAAATATACTGCCAAGAATCTTTTTAAAATGCAGGAGAAAGGATGTAATTTTCAATACAGAAGTGTGCCTGACGTAAGCCATGCTGTTTTCAATTGTTTCATGTGCATGTAAAAGCTGAACAATTAACAAGGAAGACGGAAGAACTATTGATGTCTTTACATCACAATGTTGACAGAGTGTTGAATGTCATATGGACTGTCAAAAGAATAAACAGGCCTGCCTGGGAGGAAGGGCAACCAGAGTTCCTTAAAGGTAAGAATGGTGAAACTTCATCTCACATCCTTACGTTGTCAGGACGTGCCAGTCCTGGGAAAAAGACATCGTGCTGGAAAAAGGAGGCAGCTAAAGAGAAGACCCGTAATGAGATGGCCTGGTGCAGTGCGGTGGCTGCAACAACGCTCATGGTGGGGGATCATGAGGATGGCACAGAGTAGGGCAAGGTTTGGATCTGTCGCTAATAGGGCCTGTGAGTAATCATCAACTCAAAAGCACATAACAACATGCATGTTTGGCAAAGATGTCACTGTGAGGCCTAAAATGCCCCTGCCCCCGGTCAAGCCTTCGGGGGTTTTCACTGTTCTCGGGATAAAGCCCCCATCGGCCCTGGTGCCCCCTTCGTCCGCCCTCACTCACTAGCCACTCCCTTCCACTCCCCTTCCGCCTGGGTCTGGCCCGCGGCTCTGCCTTCTCGCTTCCTACAAAGTTCCACCCGCACCCATCCCGCCCCCTCCTCCGGGAAGCCCTCCACGATTAGCCCCCGCTGCAGCGTCTCCCCCGACGTCACGCAGGGCCCCCCTCCAACGCTCTGGTCGGAGACGTGAGCCCTCACGAGGGTGCCTACTCGGCCCGCGGAGGCCGAGGGGACAGCAGTGCCGCTGAGCGGGGGGAGACGGCGGGCGGCCGGCCCTCCGGTCACTGTCGCCCGCCCGCCCGCGCGACCCCCTCCATCCTCTCCGGTCACTGCCGCCCGCCCGGTCCCTCCGTCCACTACCAACCGCGCGACCCCTCCGTCCCCTCCGGCCCCTCCAGCCCCTCCGTCCCCTCCATCCCCTCCGGCCTCTCCGGCCCCTCCATCCCCTCCGATCATTGCCGCCCGGCTCCTCGGC